TTAATTAGTAGAAATAGTGCTCGTTTTATATTGCTTATGAATGATTAGTTGTATATTTAAGTTACACACGGCTCGATGGAAGAGCATACGTGGTTTTATATGAAATTGATACCGTGTATAAATAAAGCTTATGTATGTATGTATGTATGTATGTATGTATGTATGATGGCTCCTTTGTAGAGGTGCAAAAACCTCAGGGAAACCCTCAGAGTTACAACTATGGTGAGTCACGTGGACTTGGCTTAGGCTGGACTAGACTGTTGTAAAAAGCATTTGATAGATATATGTTCATTTTTATTTATAATTTTAGTATTAATAAACTGATTATCCCGTCATTTATATTTTTTAGGGTGAACATAGTTAGCAGAAGCATTGCGTGGCGGTGAAGCATTATGTGGACAACAAGCTTGAGTGTTGCATTTCGAAGGATAATATCGTACCTTTTTCGTAACTCTGTGTCTTTCGGTATGCAATAAAACTTGAATCCTGAAGGCTTATTTCTATGACTATTAGTAGATCCAGGAACACAGCAGTTATACTTCGGTAATTTCGCCTTCCAAGTCAATACATTTGCTCGATTTATGGTTGTTTATGGTGGTTTTAGAAAGCTGTCCCGAGTAACAATCCGAGAAGCCTTCGCAAAGCAAAACTCGAACCATTCTCCCACTTGTTTTGAAATGGAGAATTGAGCTACGGAAGGGTGTTTAAGTTTGTCACGAGAGTTGAACAAAGACGCTTCAATCAAACCCTTAACTGTGGCTGGGAGATGAGATCTTGATAAACACCGATTTTATGATTTCATTTGCTTGTAAACTCATCGATTACAGCAATTGAATTGGGAGATCGTTAAACACATGAGATGGTTGAACGATGAAATGATCCAAAGTCACGCAAGTTTTATTTGCATTTAAATGAGCATCACAGAAGAATCATTAGGTCGCAGATTCAGATCTTTGTCAGGTTTTATGTTCAATATTCTTCAGGGATTTCTCTCAATGCAACTAGATACGATGACTATTTGTAAAATCATTCCACCTTAAATTTATACAATCCTGCGCAGCAGAACAGAGCTGAATAATGAAATGCTACGTCAGATGGCTTGCAATCAACAACGCGGGCTCAAGTGTCCTAGGTCTAAAATTTAGCGAAATTAGCGGAAAATAATAAGGGCTGACATTCAAAACCGAGGAACTCTGCTTTCGTCGAAGGCACTTTCCTATTTCCAGAGGTTTAAGGAGAAACTTAATTTTTTAAAATTTTTTGGGGGTGCACCAAGTTTTTGAAGTTTGTTCTAGAAAAGAAAAGTGTCAAGGAAAACGACGCCTCGAAGCAACAGCAGAATTGGAAATCAACCATGCGAACGACTCAAAGTCTGCGTTTCCGCGGCAAAACCTAGCGCATGCGTATACGTTATCCAGCTCTGTCGCGCAGCAGAGTATCTCTGCTGATATCTTATTTCTCCTTATGGTTTCACCGCGAACACAAAAGCCATGAGAATTTAACTGATTATCAGCTTAGGAAACTTTTATTGGTTAAACAAATTCTCCTTGTCAGCGCCATAGGAAATGTATAGAGAACAGTATGGAGAATATGAAAACTGATGTTAACGAGTAAAGGGTTAAAAGACCCATTTCTTTGAGACTTCTTTTAATCACATTCCTAAGTTTTAATAACTTCGTCAAAATACTCTCCCGTGTAACTAGTGTCCAACTCCATTCTTGGTATTTGCTTTGTTATATTACATTTCAGTTCTTTACAATATGGTTCGTTAGCTAGGGCATAAGATAAACAATGAAGAGACCGCTTTATTAATTATCTATGTCAAGCATTCACAGGATCTAATGAATTAAAGTTGAAGTTCATTTATTTGTTTAAGGAGGTTGATTAATTGGCAGCTGTAATAGCTGATGTGGACCTGCTGTCCTAACCCACCCATCCCACAGTAATCTCGTGTGTGGGAAATTAACGTCTCCTGCCCCAACCCTGCAGGAGACGGGACCTCCATTTATTCGTCCCTATCCGAGAAGACTAGAATA